GGCAGGGTGGAAGCTATCGACAAACCGACAAAGTGTGGCGTACGCCTCCTCGTCCTCCGAGCACATGTCCCCGGCAGCAGTGTGGTAGTAACCAGTCCCATGCTCGTAGTGCTTGAATATCCAGCGCACAGGGAACTTAGCCGTACGTGCCATCACAGGACTCCCATCGTCGCCCAAAACCGCCTCCCCGTCATCATCGCTTAGAGCCTCCTCGTACAGGGATCCTAAAGTCGAGGTGGTAACTGGCCGCACAACGTACCACTTGTCTTTAAAACCCCTTACGGAGTCCATATACATTTTGAAGAGTCTCCTCGACTGCTTCAAGGAGACCCAACTGTGTTTCCCTCCTCAGGACTGGCGCTGCAGATGAAAAATCCGGAAGAAGAGCGGTATGGTCGCCCCGATCCTCAGATAGCGACACGTCAGCTCAAACGCCCGGATGAAGGCGAGTGAGTTTGGATGTAGCTGGGACGGGGCCAACTCCAGGTGAGTGAAGACCCCGACCTGGAAATCAGTGAAGGGCAGCCGCAGCCCAAGATCTTTGAACGCGATCTCGTACATCGCGAAACTATATTCTGGATACACCGAACAGATCCTTGAACGGGAAGACGGGCGCATGACAACGAAGTTCTTTTGGAAGTCGGGCTGGCCCTGGCCCGCTTCGATGACAGCGTATGGATTTCGGTCACCCCGGCTGTAGATCGACGCGATCCCTCGGGGCTCGACGCCCACCCAATCCAGCAAAGGGTCGGTCACAGCATCAATCAGGTTGACCGACTCATCGGCACTTTGTTCTTCATGATCGTGGCGCCCGGAGGAGCTCGGCTCGTCCGCCATGGTTACCTGCAGAGCACGGGAAACCAGTCAATTGGGCACGAAGCCATACGCTCGACAAATCACGTCGTCCCATGCACTACCACATAGTCCGTTTCCACGAATGGTTGCCTCCCCGACATCCTGAAACTCGGTGTGTTCTTCCTCAAACCAACTACGCGGTCACTCTTCAATATGTCGACCCAAGGTATGAACATGGCGAGCCACACCATGAGGCCCACGGCCCAGACCATGAACATACCGGGCGCGATCATGAATCAGGCGCCCTGGATCATGAAGACCCCGGGCAGCGCTGAAGTTTATCACCTAACACTATGAATACGCCGACCACAAACATGCGTTTGCCGGTCCTAGGCATGAATATGTCGGGCTAAGTATGAGTTTACCGGGCTAATCCCACGCACACAGTCCCTAAAACATCTACAAACGCCAAAAATCATGCATTTTAACAGGAAAATGAGGAAGATAAACCACTTACTTGAATCAAAAAGTAGGATTTGGCTACGGAGTAGAAGAATCTGTGACAGAAGATCGTGACTGGAAAAAATCTGGAAGAGCAACAGCAGAGAGAGCACAGAGAATAGAAACGTGTTATGGGGCCCAAGGTTCCTATTTATAGTGATGACGTGGAATACCAAACGTCACCTCGGGCAACCACGGAGTCTCTCTCCCCGACGCGCTGCTCCCAACGCAATGATGACCCTATCCCCATAGGGTGGCTACACAGTTCCCGAAAGATACCTCGTATGCTCGACAGACGCGCCCCGGTGAGGATCCTCCAGGCATCCACCGCGGAAGATGTCTCCGAGCACGGCGCGAGGAGGCCCTCGAGGGCCTACACCTCTGTCCCGGGCACGAGACCTCGATGAGGAAACGGCCTGAGTTCAAGCCATGGCTCCTCACAAAGGAACCACGACTTGGGGGGCTCCTGTTCTGGACTGGGCCCGACAGGCCCAAAAACATTGCAAAGGCCCAGTCCAAATGGACTTACAAGGGCCACGCCGACCAAAGGGTACGACCGTGCCCGACGCGTAGTCGCTGGCTCGACAGTACACCTCCAGCTCGACATGCTGTGGTCCAGCACCACATTCTGAGGTCCAGCTCGACGTTACCTCGAGCACCCCAGCTAGGGCAGACTCAGTCCACTGTTCCCCCAGCGATACTCCGAAAAGACCGCGTCTCCGTTCGCCCGCACTTCACGCAGAACATCCAGAAAGGGGACCACGTGCGGATCCCCACTACGCACGTAGAACCTGGCAGTTCCTCCATTGGGCCAAACCTGCCCGGCCCAATGAAGGAACCTTGGCCCAGCGCTGGGGGCTATAAATACCCTCTGCTTCCAGAGGGTCGGGTATTCATCATTCCAACCTTACACTTGCTATTATCTGCTCGTACTCCTACTTACTTCAACATCGGAGTGCCTTGCAGGTACCCCCCACTTCGTTCGAAAAGCTTTCTGCTCGGAGCCAGCCGTGACGATCCATTTCTGATAAGTTCAGATCAATATGGATATCCTGCAATGACCTCATTTTTTTATGTAATACAATAAGTATATATATATAAACTCGTGGGTATGATCATCTTGTCTTCTTAGAAGTGATATCATGGTAAACTTTAGACTCTTCTTGTTATTTTTATGAGTGAGCAACATAATTTATAATATGCTTGAAGAGATAAAAGCTCGAGGGCTGCCCTCAAGGATTAGAGAGTCATGATTATCTTTGTTAGGCAAAGCTGGATTATTGTTTACTTACATGGGATGATGGATTTTTGTTTCCAAGGCTCGGTGGTGGATAATCATGGTCTTTAGGCATTGTTTTAGGGAGGCTATGTTATGTTTCGTTTTGGATCGGATTTGTTCGGTGTGTTTTTGTTGTATTGATATGTTTTTCATTTATTCATGCATCTATTTAAGTAGTTCATAAAATATCTCTAATGCTCTAGGTTTACTACTCCTCCTCTTATAGGTGGTAATCATTTGTATTTTTGAAATTCAAAATAATAAATTGTAAATGAAGTCTTATTTTTTAAGGTTAAATTATAATTTTAATTTCTATATAATAAGATATTTATGAAATCACTATCATTATTTTATTTTTAAACAGTTTTAATTTTACTTCCCTATTTTTAATTAAAAAAAAATTTAAAGGAGATGCACTGACAGTGTAAAAGAATTTTACACTGTCGGTTCAATAGAAAAAAAATTATTTTTCTATGTCATATAAACTTTTTAAAAATTACTGTCTGACAGTCTGAATTTTTTAAAATTATCTTTCATACAAGTGAAGTGATTAATTCACAGTTAAAGGTTAATGGATTGAATTTTTTTTCAGATTTTGATCATTCTGTTCATCACAAAAACCTTGTTGACTAATGTAATTTTATTTTAATTTTTGTCATTATGTTGTTGTAATTTTAGACCACGTGGAAATTAGTAATGTTAAAGTAATGAATATTGTTTTTATAATTTTGGCAATGTAAGTTTGTTATGCATTAAAGAACTGAGTTTATGAATATTCTTAAAAATATTATTGGTGTTTTAACGATTTTATTATTACAAGTCTAATTATAAATGTAAATTGTGTTCAAGTTTTAAACTTGTTATTGTAACAAAATTTTGACATGGTTGGATATAACCTATTGTAGTGTGAAGCATGGATCACCCATGTCTTAATCGCCACATCATTAACACATAATTAACATATACTAATGCAAGAATTGACCACACTCGTTTGGTAAAAGGGGTTTTTTCCTACTAAAACAGGAGCAAGATGATTATGATCCTTTTTTGTTCAAGACAATTTAGCACCATGAATGTACGAAATTGAGAAACTTGAACGTGACATAAGAGTGGTGATTAAAAATTTGAACACAATTAGTGAAAATAATTGCAATTTAGGTTGAGCTTCAGATGAATGATTCACTGTGCAATTTGGAATTTATGGATGAACTTCATTCTTTTATTTGAAAGTTAAAGATGAGCTATGTATTTCTTCCTTTTTTGTTAGTGCTATGTTCTTCTTCCTTCCTCTCTAACTGATTTTGAAACTTATTTTAATTTTTCAAATTGTCTAATATTTATTTCTTTTTTTAATAGTTTGATTTAATGTAATGTATATTTTAACAAAAAAAAATATATGTCTTATAAAATGATTCATGTAAGACATTACACTTCATCTATTAATTGTCATGTATTAAAAAAATAAACATTTTTTTATTAAATGAGAAAGAGAGACTAAAACTATTTAAAAATAAAATAGAGAGATTAATTTTGTAAATATTCTTAAATATAAAATTTAACTAATTTTTATTATTTTAGTTAATAAAAAGTGGATCACTCCTCTCACTTTCTTTCCTTCTTCATATTTTTCCACTTAAATAAATATAGTGTAGGCTTTGTTTGGAAGAGAGAAGAAAGTTGAAAGAAAGAAAATAATAGGAAAGAATTCTTAAGGAATGAAAGTGAATAGAAAGTAAGATAATTGTTTAGTTGTTTGATAGAAGTAAAAGTGAATAGAAAGAGAGAAAAAAAGAAAGAAATATAAATAAAAAATGACAATAATATCCTAATATTGTATGATTATGTATAGTATTTTCTATTCAATTAAATTTTGAGTTTTTTATTTTTAAGGAATACATGTCAACGAATACTTATAAAATTAAAATGGTTAATGAATTTAATATAGAGATTAAGTGAGAACAAAAGTTTGATTAATGCTTATATTTTTCTCGATACAAATTCTAAATTATTATGGTCCATTTCTTTTAAGAATCAGAGTGTAAAAGAAGAAAAAAAATTCAAATTTGAGTTAGGGTAAAATTATTTTTGTCTAATTTTACTTCTTTTTTTTTTGGTCTAAACTTCATATCATCATAAATAAGGGTTAATAATTAAAAAAAAAAAGACTAAGTATTTATTACTTTCCTTTCTATTTCAAATTTCTACTCGATTCATGCTCAATGCCCTTCTACAATTTTCACACACTTAACACAAAAAAAACTTTCCTTCTACAAATTTCCATTATTAGATTATATAGCCGTTAGGAATTTCATATTTAACATAGTATCTACAATATAAATAATTCACAAAATTTTGTGAGAGATTACAAAGCAAAAATATCTTCTATTTGGATTTTCTTTTATACAAAAGATTTGATATTGATATCATGATTTATGGTAGATGTGCCGCTTGCAAGAGTCAAAGAAGAAAATGTCCTTCTGATTGCATTTTCTTTCCTTATTTCCCTGCCAATGATCCTCAAAGATTTGCTTATGTTCACAAAATCTATGGTGGTAGCAATGTTGGAAAAATGCTTAAGGTACTTTTAATAACTATATTAATATTTAGTATCTAGTATATGTAATATAGTGTATAATATAATTATTGTATATAGAAATTTGCATGTATAATTTGCTATAATCTAATTTGACATTTTGGATTTTTTTTCTCTTCATGTTGTAGCAATTGCCTTATTATGTAAGAGAGCATGCTGCAAATAGTTTGTATTTAGAAGCAAAATGTAGGATTCAAGATCCTGTTTATGGATGTGTTGGGATTATATCTAAATTGTATCAACAAATTCATGATATAGAAATTGAGTTGGCAAAAACTCAAACTCAGATTTCTTTTCATAAGCTTCATAATCAATAATTTGAAGATGAATCAAACCTCAATTTGAAGTTTGTGATGCCACAAAGTAACTACATGGCACAGTTTCAATGGCCTAATCAAACTCCTAATTGATTTGATTAAGATTTGTTTTAGCAATAGATTCATAGTAATAATGCGATCTTAATTTGGGATGGTTGATACTTTGTATTCAAAGGCTCAACTGATTTGGAGATTTTGTTTTTTGTTACTATATTTGGAAAATAAATTGAGAATGTTGCAATAAATTTAATGATGGAATAAATGTTAACGGAAAATAATTAATGTGTTCTTTTGTTATCTATTTTATTCATAATTCAAAATACTTTCTGATATCACAGTGTTCTATTTTATTTTGGGTACAAAGTGATCTATATTACTTGTTTTAATTAAAGTATAACTTGACCACTAGGCGAATAAATAAATAAATAAATCTTAAAACATATTTATATAATAAGAAAAAAAGTGCTCTATTATTTGTTTTAATTAGTAATGTATTTTTATAATATTACATTACTTGAAAACACAATCCTCAACTAACTAAAAGCAGATGTTATTTTATAAATACAATGTTTACTTGAGATTGTCCAAACATTGACACGGTAAGGAGGAGAATTTAACCAGTCATTTCAAAAAATAAATTTGATATCCTCTAATAATAGCTGCTATTATTCTTACTCCTTACAATTCTTTTTTTGAAATTTATTTATGTGTTTTTTGGAAATTTTGAAAAAAATTCAGAATTTTTTATAATTTTCAGACAAAATTACCTGATTTTTAAAAAAAATGTGGCAGGTTATTTTCGATAAAAAAAAATTAAAAAGAAAATTTACACTACCGAAAATTTATATTAAAATACAGTATTTTTCAAAATTTCTGATAAAAAACCATTTTAAAAAAATTAATACCAAAAATTTAGTATGTTATCAATTTTTTTTATTATTTAATGGAAATAGGCGCTTCATGATAATTTAATCTGTTACCCTAAAAATTTAACTCGACACCTTCAATAATAATTGTTATTACTCTTATACTCATATAAAAAAATTTAGAAATTTATTTTCACAGTTATTAGAAATTTCAAAAAATACTCAAATTTTTCAAAATTTTCGCAAAAAATTATTTGATTTTTCAAAAATTTTCGATAGTTCATTTTTGACAAAAACAAAATTTCATACTATCAGAAATTTCGAATAAATTACAATATTTTTCGAAATTTTCAATAACATTAAAAAAAAAAATTGAAGAATTTAATACGACAATTCAGAAATAAACTATGGAAAATTTTATTCTTACCACCCTAAATTTGTTAATATTCTTACCACCCTAAATTTGTTCATGGACAATATAAAAAATATAAAAATTAAGAAAAAATAAAAGTGTCAAGTTGAGGGTGACAAGTTAATTCATCCAATAATTCTAAAAAAATAAAATACAATATCTGTAACTTTAAACATGAGATACATTTTTTTAATGTTAAATATGATTTTTTTAGAAGGTTACTTTTTCTCTCTTAACTCTCTAGAGTTAAAATTCGTCAGAATGAAGATCACCGATTGATCTATTTAAGGACTTATTTTTTATTCTATAGTGAAACATTATAATTTGTTTTAAAAGTAACACATGGTTTGTAAAAAATATTCAAAAATCGTGTTTTGATAAGTATAAAATTTGAATCTGTATTAGAAAAGAATTTATATTTATAATGAAAAGGATTTGAGACTCTCATCTTGGCTAAAGCATCTATAACTAATATCTTATACTATATATTTTATAATAAAATTGAATATTTTCAAGAGATTATTTTGCCTAAAAATTAACTTGAATTACTTATTCCTTGGGTCAACCTTGTAGAGAGTAAGTGAAGTTAGATTAGATATTACTTATTTCATTAGAATTTGAGAGGTCTCTTAAATAATTTGGCTAATCAACTGCTTCTCATTAACCACACTTGAGTTTAGTTGCTTAATTATGTATATTGAAAGAAAAAAAAGAGTAATTTAACATTTTATGAATGTCTCTTTTCATTTTAAAAAATAGATATTCCTTTGTGAAATCATATTACAGAATCAAAAGATATAATAAAGAAATCTTTGGAGTCAGGCTTCATAAAAAGCTTTGTGAGTTAGAGCAATGTTTAAATGAAGTTTCATCAACCCCTCTCCTCCAAGAAGAAATTTTTTTTTTTTAAATGTGTCATATTTTTTAAATCAATCATACTAAATATGATGATCTAAGATCCTCAAATCAAGTTTTCTAGATAACTAAAAAAAGCTAACAAACACCCTTAATTAAGTAGTTACCTATAGAATTAAGTATTATCAAAAGAATATAATAAAGTAGAAAAAAAGATGAGCAAAATTTAACAAGTTTGGAATACATAACTTTTACACTGTAAGATCTCATGCAAAATACATGACTTTGACAAGAGATTAAGCCCCTGTAGCTGCCTTCTTCCCATCAATGAACAAGCCCGCTGTCTTGAACCAACGCATTAAATTTCGATGTTGCTTCACATATAGCCATGCTTGAAGAAATTTAAAGAGGCTATCGTTTACGCCTCGCTCCGCTATGTAATTGTGAAATGCATCTCTCATCTTTTCATCTAATTCTCTGTCAATATAAACAACGCCTGTCAAAAAGTGCACGGACTTCCTGATTTTCCACTAATAAACATTGTAATTTATAATCAGAAGGCATATTGTTTAAGACAAACTAGGCAATTCAGAAGCAGCATGGATGTTCATAATATCTTGGTTCACCCTTCCTATCTTATGTCAGCCACAAAAGACCTACTTGTTTATGCAAAACAGGATTCCGCGATTTTATCTTGGTTCACCCTTCCTATCTTATGTCAGCCACAAAAGAGCATATAAATGAAGTATTCACATTGACAGTAATTAAAAACTCACGTTAAGTTCCCGTAAAAAAAAATGAAAGAACGTAATCACAATATTTTCTTATAAAAGTTGTCATTGTTTTGTTAGTTTGGGATTATTTGTTAAAAATCCAAGGGTGAGGAGAAAGGGTCATAGGCATAGGATAGGTATTCTGAAGGTAACATATTGAATTGATCAAAAGATGCAGAAAATGGGTACAATATATTTTATATATAGAGCTTATGGAGGGTTGATAAATTAAGACCCCCTTTAAAATTGTGAAAATGTTTTTGTTTTCGTTTCAAAAATTTATGTTCATTTTAAATTGCTAAGGAGATGGAAAACACATGTATTGAACATTTGTGATAGAAGAGAATATGGAAAACAAACTACAGAGAATTCATTTTCATAAACAAAACAAATAAAGTGTTTTGGCATTTTCAAATTTTTAGAAATCGGCAAACCGCTAGATCTGTTTTTAAAAGTTGTGAAAGAAAATGGATAGTAAATATTGAATATAATTTCTCTTACATTTGTTAGTTGAAGTGAGAATAAAAACAAGAAGCATAAGAAGTAAACGGGTCCTAAGCATCTACTAAAAAACTGGCTTTTATACTTCTAATTTGAATAAAGGACAATCTGATCCTGTAAAACTATCACTATGATAGGATGCAGGAATGAATTGAATCCATTGTGAATATACTATAGGAACTACAATATCATAAGTGGTACACACACCCTTGCCTTTTATTGCGTTGTTACAATAGAAGACTATAAGCATGAAGAGGAAATTGAACTCATCTCGACTTAGATATTCTTAAATCATGTGCACATCCTTTACAAATGGTGTGTGTGTGCGCGCGCGCGCGCATGATTGAAGGGAGATCTATGTCTTTTGCAGAATAGAGGGTTGTCGTTTCAGCATATCTTAAGGTATGCAATTTCCGCTAGAATCAACATATGCCTAAGCTCAACTTACATAAGATAAAAGGTGGTTAATGGAGGAAAATTCTATTTCAACTACATTCTTCAGATTCCAAGACTCAGCTACTTCGATCAACAACAACCAAGCCTTATCTCATTAAGTAGGGTCGCCTACAATGATCAACTTTCACCATAATGTTCTATTCAAGACCATAAAGAAAATATTTTCCACTCATCGAACATATCCAAAACCATTCTTCCCAACTAATATTTTCCGTTTTCATTAATCTCCCCCTAGAATCAACATAAGCCTAAAAAACCTAAATTACAAAAGCGGAAGAGTGTTTATTAGAGGGGAATTGTACTTCAACTCCATTCTTCAAATCACAAAACTCAGCTACTTCCATACCAAATAGAAAATATTCCCTACTCATCAAACATATCCCAAACCATTCTTCCAAACTAATATTCTCCATTTACATTAATCTCCCCTAGAATTAACATAAGCCTAAACCCGAATTACAAAAGCAGAAGAGTGTTTACTGGAGGGAAATTCTACTTTAAATCCATTCTTCAAATCCCAAAACTCAGCTCTACTTCCATACCATATAGAAAATATTCTCTACTCATCTAACATCTAAAACAATTCTCCCCAATTAGTTCTCTATTTTCATTTATCCTTTTTCAGCTTAGATTATTAGTTGCTACACACTCCATCTAAAATAGCCTATAACAGGATTATAGATTTCACTATCAAACTTTGTAGCACCGACACCTCTGAAAAAAGCGTGTCTGTGTGAGTGTCCGAAACTGACACCGGCATTTATAATTATGTTTAATTTATGTTGGTATGTCAGTGTCGTGCTTCCGGTGTCCAAATTTCATAGCTATCAAACACGGACACGCTTGGCACATACCAAAACAAAAACTGGATATTAGCAAAGTAAAACCCTAGTTCATCATCAATTCATAACAGAGAAGAGATTGAGAAAACATACTCAAAAACAGGACCAGCATACTCAGTGGGAGCAAGAATATATCCATCAGACTGTTGAAGCTTAGGTCTCATGGAAACAGAGTGAATCCCAAGCGCATCTTCATACAAAGCACAGAGAAAATTCAACGATTCCTTCTGTTCAGGTTTCGATACATCAACATGAACAAACAACTGATCCATATCACCGCTTTGTTCGTCATCGACATTCGCCAACCGCATCACGTAAATGCTAATCTCTTCGTCGCCATGATTTCGCGTCAAGACTGGACCCTCCGAATCAAGCGCTCCCTTCACGATGGTGAAGGACGATGGAGGACTCACTTTCTGCCATTAACATGTGACGTCAGCATAGAAAAAGGTTAAACCCTGAATCCTAAACCCTAACCCTAAGAGAGAAAGATTCAAATTTTTGAGATTAAGAGAGAGAGAGAGAGAGAGTACAGGGGGCATGTTCATTTTGGCTACTTCCATGTAATGATCCTTGAGGGAGCGGAGAATCATGGAGTCTACGGCGGAAGATATGGTGGCTCCGCCGCGAGTTGATAACGAGCGTGTGTGGTGGATTGCGCCGACGGCGCCGAGTAAAGTTCTCTTCCACATTCCGATTTGTTCAGCGTTATGCTACTTGTGTTTGAAGCTATGTCGATTAAAAAGGTTCAATTTTTGTTAAGCAAAATATGTACCAATACTCTTTGGTAAAAAGTCATAATCAATTTATTTTACTTGAATAATATTTATAAAAAATGGCTTATTTTGATATTACTGGAATAATTATGTTAAATTAAATTTGATTTTTTGAAAATTATAATTGCACTTGACAAATTGAGAGTAAATCGTTTTTCAATTTTTTTTGGTAAAAGATGGTCTTTTTTGGAAATAGAGAGTAAAAGTTTACTGGTACGAGAATGACGATCATAATATTCAATTTTTTAATATTATAGCAATTGCTAGAAAGGAAGTCAACAATATTTTTTTTCTTATCCATGAAAATGGAGAAGTGAGTACTTTGATTGAAGGGATGTGTAAGATTGCTCATGATTATTTTACTGATTTATTTTATAAAAAATTAAGTTCTCAAGATCGGATTTTGCATGCTTTAGGAACCACCATTTCAGATGAAGATAATAATATGTTGACGATATCTTTTGTTATTAAGGAATTTAAAGAAGCTATTTTTTCTATGCAAGCCGATAAGAATCTTGATCCTGACGATTTCAATCCTAATTTTTATCATCAGTTTTGGGATACTTGTGGGTCATAAATTTTTAGTGCAGGTTGTTCTTGGTTGGAGAATGGTGTTTTTCCATCGAGTCTTAATATGACTAACGTCACTTTAATTCTAAAAGGAGAAGTTCAAACTTCCATGAAAGATTGGAGATCGGTTACACTTTGTAATGTCTTATACAAAGTGATAACTAAAGTTATAGCAAATCATCTTAAAAAATTCTTGACAAGTGCATTTCAAATAACCAATCAACTTTTATTTCTGGGAGATCTATTATGGATAATGTTATAGAAGCTATTGAGGTGGTTCATCATATGAAGGTTAAAACAAAAGACAAAAATGGTGATGTTGCTCTTAAGCTTGATATATGTAAAGCTTATGATGGAATCGATTAGGATTACCTCAAGGATGTTCTCGTCACTATGGGTTTCAATCAGAAGTGGATAGGTTGGATTATGGCTTTGTGTTGAAACAATAGATTACTTAGTGGTTATAAATGGTAATATGGTAGGGTCGATTGTTTCTGGTCGGGGGTTGAGGCATGGTGATCCCTTGTCCCCGAATTTATTTATCATATATTTTGAAGGTCTTTTAGCGCTCATCAAACAAGCTGAAGCTAGGGGGTACTCACAACATAAAAATTTGTAATGATGCTCCTGTTATATCTCATTTACTTTTTGACGATGATTATTTTTTGTTCTTTAGAGTGGACTATTAATGAAGCGAATGTGATGGAAAGTATTCTTGCCACTTATAAAGAAGCTTCAGGGCAAGCCATTAATTTTCAAAAATCTAAATTTTTGTAGTAGGAATGTTAATCCTAATGTAAAGAATACAGTGGCTAATATTTTATGAGTTCAACAAGTTTCTGGGACAAGCAAGTATCTTGAATTACCATTATGATAGATAAAAGTAGAAAAGCAAATTTCAAGTTTATAAAAGATAGAATTTGAAAAAATATTAACTCATGGAGTAGTAGGAGTTTATCTTAAGTAGGGAGGGAAACACTTATTAAGTCAATTCTCCAATCTATTCTGACTTATATTATGAGTATCTTCTTGTTGTCATCCTCTTTAAGTGATAAAAAAATGAGAAAATGATTAATTCTTTTTGGTAGGGGCATAATCGAGATCGGGCTAAAGGTATACATACATTGGCTATCTTGGGAGCGTTTGTATATGCCTAAAAAGGATAGAGGTATGGGTTTCAAAAATATAAGTGTCTTTAATTATGTTATGGTCAGTGATAAGCAGTAAATGGATCATGTTTCTTGCTTATTGTTCCTTTTATTTCATGTGTGTTTTCATCATCCTAGTTCGTTTTTACGCATTTTTGTCTCGTTTGTTAATTTTCAGATAATAAGAGGTCAATGGAGCGAATAAGGACGAAAAAGCCTTAAGATCAAACAAAAAGGAGTGCTTCCCATACAAATTTTCCGAGACTAACACAGCCTGGTCGTGTCCCATGACACAGGTCGTATTGTCCCCTTTGAAGTCACTTCATACAAGAAACTATAGGCTGACACTGCCAACTCGTGTTCCTTAACACGACCCATTGTGAAGTCAAACTTCCATATGTTGAATATGTTTTCATGAAGACAAAGCTTTTAATATCAAGAAGGCAAAGATGAATCTCAAGATAAAGCACTATGTTCAAAGCTTTGGAATCAATAAAATTAAGTTTCAAGAAGGTATAATGATAATACTTACCTTCACTAAAGCTTTAGATGCTCAATTGTCAAACACTTAATGCATACCTCATTCATTTCCTCGTGACATAAACACTTAGGCAAAAATTTCATTTTCACTATATGCAAATCAATTTGCACATAACAACAATCGATTTACACCTGGGTAATGCCTAATTTTTTCAGTGCAAATCTATTTGCACGACTGACCAATCGATTGGTGCTTTGAAATTTTTTATTTTTTGCACTATGCAAATCGATTTACACATGATGCAAATCGATTTGTACATGATGCAAATCGATTGCTTACTGAAGATTTTCAAAAGCTTGTAACGTTGTACTATACAAATTAATTTGTACCTAACAACAATCGATTTGCACCTGTACGTTTTTTTAAAAACAATAGCTTTTTCAAACAGCTTTTCATGGTTACTCTTCAAGAAACCTTTTCATTTAACCTTTACATTTGTTCATGATATTTTTCAGAACATCACTGTGATTTAGAAGGTATCTTACTCATAAAAACCAAGCATTTTTAAATTACAAATTACTTCTTCCAATCAAACACTTAGAATTTCAAAATTCACATTTCAAGTATTTTAACTTTTATTCCAAAAAAAATATGCATACTCTCATATCCTTTAAACTATAAAATTCTTGAGCATTATAGTGTGTTTGGATGAGTCAATTTGAAATTTAAGGAATTTTGACATTTCATGGAATATAAATGCTTCATTTGAATTTCTTTCATTTTCAAAATTTATTGGATGGAGTATTTGATTTCCTTCATTTTCAAAATTTATTGTTTGGATAAAGTGATGTAGTTCAATTAATTTATGAAAAAACAATTATAAAAATAATTTATTTTGCATATGTTTTAGTGACAACAAGGGTATGTGGGTATAAGTCTTAAAATAGTTTTTACCTACGAACATTATTCATGGGTAGAAGTTTAAAATGTAAAAAATAAGATATTTTTAACATTTATAGGAAAAATCTTATTCATGTATACAAATTTACATTTTCATTATGAATACATGTAAAGTTAAATATTGAAAGCTTACAACCCAACTCATTAAAACTCTTTGTTCTTGTTTTTTGAAAAGCATAAATATAAAAATAAAAATAAAACATATATGAATAACTCAATTAAGTTTATTCTTTGTATTATAAAATTCTAAATATGAAGAAACATATATCAAATATCTACTGCGAAAATGTCATACAAAAACATAAACAGTGTATTATAGATCTTATCATACTCGACGTTAAAATATAAACTACTAATATAGTAATTTCATAACAAAAGTCAAATAGGCATGTGATCTAACCCGATCAGACTTGGACCGTCACGGCTGGCTCCGAGCTGAAAGTTTTGAACGAGGTGGGGGGTACCTGCAAGACACTCTGATGCTGAAGTGAGTAAGAGCACGAGCAGGCAATAGTAAGAGTATGGGTAGAATGATGAATACCTGACCCTCTGGAAACAAAGGGTATTTATAGCCCCCAGCGCTGGGTCAAGGTTCCTTCATTGGGTCGGGCAGGTTTGGCCCAATGGAGGAACTGCCAGGTTCTATGTGCGTAGTGGGGACCCGCACGTGGTCCCCTCCCTGGATGTTCTGCGTGAAGTGCGGGCGGACAGAGACACGGTCTTTTCGGAGTCCCGTGAGAGTGTAGTGGACTGAGTCTGCCCTAAGAGGGGTGCTCGGGGTGATGTCGAGCTGGACAGTAGGCGGTCGAGCAAATAGCCTCAGGGAGCACGTCGGGCACGACTGTGACCCTTTGGTCGGTGTGGCCCCCAGCAAGTCCGTTTGGATTGGGACTTATCAATGCTATTGGGCCAATCGGGCCCAGTCCAGAATAGGAGCCCCCCAAGTCATGGTTCTTTGGGTTAGGAGCCATGGCTTGATCTTAGGTTGCTTCCGTTTCGGGGCCTCGTGCCCGGGTCAGAGACACAGCTCCTCGAGGGCTTCCCCGTATCGTGCTCGGAGACGAGTCCTTCGCGGGGAATGCTCGGGGATTCCTCAACGACGCGCGTCTGTCGGGCACGCGAGGTATCTTTTGGGAACTGTGCCGCCACCCTATGAGGATATGGTCATTATTACCTAGGGGAGCCGTGCGTCGAGGAGAGAAACTCTGTGGTTGCCCGGGGTGACGTTTGGTATTCCACGTCATCACTATAAATAGGATCCTTGGGCCCCATAACGCGTTACTACTCTTCGCGTTACTGTTGTTGTTGTTTTTCCAGATTCTCATAGCATCGCCGCGATCTCTGTCACCGATTCCTTACCTCCGTTGCCGAATCTACTCCTTGATTCCAAGTAAATGACTTATCTTCTCTGTTTTTCTGTTGTGATGCATGATTTTCATCGTTTTTAGAAGTTTTAGAGGCTGTGCGCGTGGGACTAGCCCGGTAAATTCATGTTTAGCCCGACAAATTCATGCTTAGGGTCGGCAAACACATGCTCATGGCCGATAGATGCATGGTTTAGATTATAATCTGCAGTGCTGCCCGGGGTCTTCATGATCCAGGGCGCCTAATTCACGATCGTGCCCGGTATGCTCATGGCTCTGGCTTTAGGCTTTATGATGTTGCTCGCCATGTTCATACCCCGGGTCGGCGTATTCATGAGTGACCGCGTATTTGGTTTGTTTAGGTGGCTTGTAGAAGGGCCCGTCGAGGTATCT